ATATACCCTCGTACCACAAGTGGGTGTTGGGTAGAATTAACAAAAATGTATATATTTTTTGTCAGCGTAAGCAACACCCTCTCTGTTTTGCGTGCACTCCTCTTTTGCTGTGTGCGAAGAGAACGATTACGAAGTCAAAGCTTTGCTAGAATATTAAAAGTAATGTTAAATGATTCCTTTATGGTCTCGTCAAATCTATTGAATAACTTCATAAACCAATGTGTAGCATTTAAATATTGTGAAAATTACGCATTCTCCCTCCGCAAGTGTGCTGCTTATGTTTCATTATCTATGTTGTCTTACTATCATCAGGTATTTTATGCTAAACAAGTTACCATAATTAGTTTAGATAAGACTGTGTGTGTATAAATGCGTGGCCATCTATTATTTTACGTTGTGGCAACAACTTAGGACAGTCCCGTTATATATATATGTTATGTTATACCCATTGAAAACCATGGCAAACCACGTTCGCGATGCAATATATTTTATTGAGTTTGTATTTATGACTTCACCCTTTTTCTAAGAGATGTAAGAGGTAAATGCAACTGTAGGGTGCTGCTTAAGCCTGTGCCTTATTCAGTTAAAAGTACTATCTGTAACTGATACGTAGCTGTATTATTTATCGCACCAAGGCGTAGACAGCCTAGCTTCTTAGAAATTTGAATAGATGTAACTCTGTGCCAAAAAAAATGCAACCTTGCTTATTTCGAAGGACGGCGTCGCTAAATATTCCAAATCATGATAATGCAAAGTAGACTCACCATTAACATCGACGATAAAACTGAGTATCCATCGAAGCCACATTTGAAACGTTTGCCGATCGTGTTATATTATAGCTTGTTTCAACCAATTGCAACCGCCACTAAGGAAATCTGACGTGAACTACTTGATGCAAGTGGAACAAAAAATGGGTGTGATATGCTAAAAGTCATGACATCGTAGGTTTACAGTATGAAGAAATTTGACTCCATATAGCAAAACCCCCTTAAGAAATATTTGGAATCCGCTGTTATCAGCAGAAATTTCTCCTTCCGATTAGTACGTGGTTCAATAATGTCTTATTATTTGCTCGAAAGGCTCTTTCATTCATACGACAATATGCAAATGTGGCCTCTTTTCTAAATAGCCTGAAAAGGCATGTTGAGAATTTCGCATTTCATTCATATTGTGGGTAAACGATGAGAGAAATAATGGCTGCTGTTGGACAATACATGGAACAAAAAACTTTTAATATTTTATTTCCAATGTCCCTTCAATTTTCCTAAGAAGTCGTCGGACAATTCTACAATACCACGCTGAATAGTGTGGATAGACAAACGATATTTGAAAGGACATACTTTAAGTGAAAACCAATTCTCTTTTTTTGGACTTTTTTTCAAATTCTAAATGTAGCAGAAAATATTATTATTGTTTACTTATGCCTTTAATGTAAAATATTTTTCCGTTATTTTCGTATGCGTAGGCCATGTAAGAGCCGACGATTTTTTAAAGTCCTCTTAAGAAAAACTTCATAAAATTTTACACCCTGGGCAAGTTTGATTTCTAAAGACCTGTTATGCCGAATGCAATTCTTCGCCTATGTTTATCAAAACATATCACAAATTAGACCTTTTTCCTATATATAGAGGTTTGTTTTTTCGTAAAAACCTTTATAATGTGTTCTATAGTTACGCCTTCGTTACAATTAATCATATATTGGTATTATTATAATATTTATAAGAATTTAAAACTACTCATATCTTACAGCACGCAGATGACGTCAAACTATTCTAGCTCTTTCCTTACCTCGAAACTTGAATAATGTCTCCTGCAATCTGATATAAATAATTTGGGTAACTTGGTGCTCATTGATCTTGATGTTATTAAATGCGAGGAAATGTGTTTTTTTAAGACGAAACTCATTCTCAACTGCATTTTTAGCTGATTGATACATAAGTGATAGGTTTTATTGAACTTAGTACTACCTATACTGGAATATGCCTTCGTTATATAGTGATTTTCTTGTCTGCATAGAATCTTTACAGAAGTAGTTTCTGCTTTTTGATTTTTTGGATCATACGTCGCTCTGCGATTGCATAAGAATGTCTTCGTTACTTATATACTTACTTTCACTCAAGAAACGTAGGGAATTCTTAAGTGTCACTATAAGGTTAAAGGTATCTTGTTAAATAAGATCAACGTTAATATTCCTATCCGCCCATCGACAATTTTTCTTTCTACAAAATTTAGCCAATGGAAGTTAGCTATAAACTAAAATTTACAATTTTAACTATGGAGCTACGCTTTGCAAACAAACTAAGTAAGGACGTTTAACTTTTTTGCTAAGCTTTGTTAAGTTAACACTAAATAAATGCTCACGAGGTGCACACTTAGTTGATGATATATCAGTTGTTAAGGGTGTGGTTGGGCAAAGTTGGGCAAGAGATCATTTTCTTATTCTGCGTATTCTTATGCGTACATACGATTTTCACAGTTTTAAGATTACTTTCACCGCAATTTTAACTAGATTAAGCCTTTAATCGTAAACATTTTGTAGTGCAGCCGAATCTATACTATAACCGAATTCTACGCATACGAATGATTAAATAAACAAAGAAAAAAATAACATAAATAGCGTAGAATTTCATCCCATTAAAATTTTTAATATATCAAAACACCCTTTTTCAACGAATTATCTCGAGAAGTTTCAGTATAGGGCCTCATATGGCTTCAATAGCGTTCGTCCTTTATTCAAAAAATGCCAGCATAGTAAATTTCATTGAAATATCCCGAAGTTGAATCAAAAAAGAAAAAAAAAAAAAAGAATATAAGCAGACGGACCGAGCAGTCTAATTAAAGTTTAAATCCACTTACTGCTACTCTTACCTTACTATTAATAAAAATAAACGCATTTAATAATTTCTTTTTATGGGCTCCTGTTAAGCCTTGAGCGAATTATTGGTTATTGGATATAGAAAGTTTCGATCATAACTTCTGTTTGTGACCTAAAAATCATTAAAATGAAGCTTTCGCATTGCTAGTGAACTGAAAACCGACAAAAGAACTTTCCGCAGACAATTTCTGAGGGCATTATAGTATTTTACATATGGTTTCGGAATGCTGGTGCAAGCAGTTGCACCAAATTTGTTTAGTAACAACCTTATTGAGATAAATGAGGAACGATTATTGTTAATGTATTTGAAAGCTCCTGAGCTGAGTTCTTATAAATGTATTATTACAATTTTTGTGCAACTACGCATAATAAATTTATTGATTTTTGGGTTGACTAAGAGAAAAATTTGTTTTTGTTATTTTAACGCGTGAAACTGCAAATTATGCGACGCTGAGTATTTAAATGAGAAAAATAAAGCAATAATTGTTGACTACTCACACCTGAAGATTACCAATCTTTCTAGAATCGATGCAGGACTGAATTGCGCAGTAATTGTCAAGTCCTAGCCTTTTGCTTACATTGGAGATATCTGTGAGAAATCTTTTGCCAAGCGTAGGACTGGATTGAAATGCAATATCAATGCAAATATCTGAGTATTAACTGCATATGCTACTAATACGCTTGGCATCGACTTTCAGAACAAATTCTCGTACTTCTCAGTTTCGTAGGCATATCTAAGAAATAAACTAATAATTCTTCTTTCAGCATAATTTTCATTTTAGTGCATTGTTCACAATAAATCTTAGAGTAACAGGCGCCTCTAGTTTGGTAGTGTAATTTTTATTCAAGGAAGACAATTGAATTATGAATCTTTAAATTTCTATTAATGGCATTCATAAGGCAATGAGTCAAAAGTCAGTAGTCAATAGAAACGCATTGAACATTTTACCATTTCTCTCTGTCAATTGTTTGAATAAATGAAATGGAATGCAAATGGGAAGGCTGTGCTCTTTATGTTCAATTAGTATGTGCTATCGATATCAAATGTGTTTGAATAATTTCACGCATCAAGTATTCCTCTCAATCATTAGTTTTTATATACTTGATAATGGGCTTTTCATCACCAGCATTGAATATTGAATTGTGTTGGTTGCTAGTGAAGAAGAAAAAAATTCTTTTTCGGGAGCCAAGCCAAAACCCAACGGTTTTCCTTCTTTCATTGCCCAATTTCGTTAAGTCGATTCCATGTAAGTAGGCATTATTCAGGTACGATTGTTTGAAGAGCACTACCGATAGCGTTTGACAGAAGTTCACGAAACCACACGTTTTCAAACACGATTATGGTTAGGGAGAAAAAAGTGCGGAAAGAGCACCCGGCATGACGCTTGAATTTGGGCACGCCGGATGGACAGTCGCTCTTCTCATCTGCCTGCCCATTAGCCAATATTGTGTTCAATTTTGTAATTCAAAGCGTCGTACATAATCTGAATGCAATAAATCTTCTTTTTAATATAAAACCATTTACAATAAATAGATAAATTGTTACATGCATCACTCACTCTCTCTCTCTCTCTCTCTCTCTCTCTCTCTCTCTCTCTCTCTCCTATTACGTACTACGTGCATGTTTGTAGATATTCATATTGTACATTTAACCATCTAATTTATTATATGGCTCGTATACTCAACTTATCTATCTATATTTACATGTGCAAAAATTAATCACCACTCATACGCCAGAACGATATTTGATGTTTTCTAATAAATGAAACGCAAGAGAATTTACATTGAAAATATATATTTGAAGTACGTATGTATAGTGAGTACTTGCATGGGAATATGTATATATTTATATATGTATAAATATATTTAATACGGTACAATATTATTAACTGCATAGATAATGGGTCGTAGTTGAAGGTAGTTGTAGGTAATATAAACAGTTATATACGTAAAAAATATCGTTTGTTTGTATATAAAGTTTTTAATAAAAGAGAAATAGTTTTTAAACTTTTTCTTATTAAACTCAACATATATATATATATATATATATAATGTATATACATACATATAATTATTTTATAATGATTGACAAAATTGAATTATATTGAAATAACATATAATTTAAAAAAATGCAATAAATTCTTAATGAAATGATTAAAATTTATATAAATTTTTTTATTTAATTTCAGAAGAAACGCATACTAAAAACTACCATGTTGGTGCATACTTACAATATATTGTACATTAATTTTAAATTAAAATTGTTTACTAATTTTCGCTCGTCTAAACAAATATGGATTTGATTTTCAGTCTCCCAGTTAGTTTGGTTTTTGCTTTTAATTTGTTATGATTTTGTTGCGTTTATTGATTTACTTGATTCGTGGACTCTATATAAACTTACTTATTATACATTTTATTATTTTATTTATGACATGTTGAATATGTACTGTATGCTGAATACAAATATGGCATTTCGTCTTCTTTGGGTTGTTTAACAATGATTTTTAAGATATGTCTTTATCTGGTATGTGGGTTAATTGATTGTTATATGTTCTGCTATAGATTTGAGTACATATGTATATGGCTATATGCGGGAATCTATAAGTTCAATAGAAAGAAACACACAAAGATAAAATTCGCGGAAATACGCGAAAAGACCGCATTATGTATATTCATTTATATTCATAAGCTAGTACTATTATATGAGCGATTAGATTATTTATTTAGAAATTTAGATAAATACTTGATATATTAAATATTTACTTCCTGCGAAAGTTACTATAGGCGTCTATTGTTGCGTAAGGTACCGGGAATTGGCTGTCTAATAAAAAATAATATATTTTTTTTTTTTATAAAATTGACGTCGCATGTAAGCAAAATAGTGCATAATAGTGAATTAAACAAACATATATATGAACCAAGTAAGTATTGGCTAATTACCTCAGTTTTAAGTCAAGAAAAAGTCTAATATGCGTATTTCGAGAAACTGCTAGCAACTGTGATTGTCAAATTAATATATGTATCCCCATGGTGCTGATTATAAGAGAAATCTTTTGCAAATTTATATGCTTGTTTATTACGTCAAACAGTTCGTGCCTATGTATATATACATTTGTTTTGCGCTATTACACTATTACGAAGACTGTACTAGCCCTTCGGGAAGTGTTACATATCCATCAAGGTCGAATAGTTTTTATTGGATATGAGCTGATCGCAATTTTCATTTTCATTTTTAATGTTTAAGAATGATTATTGAAAAAAAGGCAGAATTGCGTTTTAAAATGTTGAGCGCCATCAAATATGGTAAAAGCGATTTTTACTAGCCTTAATATAATGCTTTAAGCGAGACACAGCTCGTCAGCCAATATCCTACACCACTTCGCTTAATACAGTTACGCATATAACGACTTTTCTAAATGAGGCGTTATTTGGGTAGTAGCCGATAAAGTGGTTTGATCCGAACGATTTTTACTAGTGTTCGTTTTTAGGCCAAAACATTGCGGTCCACCAAATTTCAGAAAATCAGCTCAAAAATTGCGATCCACAGTTTAAAGACAAGAACATAGGCGGACAGACGGGTAGACACACTTGGAATCGATCGTCAAAATAAAAGATGAGTCCATCTCAATTCATTCTCGGTATTGTATACATCCTCACAAGTTTAACATATCCCCGCTACAAGATATGAAATAAGAAATCCAAAAAATTGACTATTTTTCATAAACTATAATTTATTAAAAAAGGTATTTGTATAAAATTGATCTCAAATGTGGTTTTAAGGCGTTAAGCATAAAAAAACTCTTTGATTTAAACGGTATCCTCGATGTGATAAACGAGTCCAGCTTTTCCAACCTGTTTTTTTTTTTTTGTTATTTTTTGTATTTATTTTTTCATTTTTTATTTTTTAGTTTTTTTAATTAATTTATTTCTTACTGTTTTGTTTTGCGATAAATCAAGTTTGTAGTCTTGTACTTGCAAAGTTTCGTCGTTAAAGCTTTGCTTTTAGACTATTTAACTTCCAAAGGATTAAAGAATAACTTTAAATTCAGAAGCTTTGCTCAAAAAAATTCACATCGTTCTCTTTGAAAAGTTGCCTTTGTTTAGATGAGTCTTACAGATCTGCACAAAAAACAGCTTCGACTGGAGTTGTTGATGACATCAGCTATTGTTTGTTAACGAATATTAAGTTTGCTATGTTTAATTTGTAATCAACTGAGTTGAAGTCCGTTTCATACCTTTATAGAAAATGAAAAGCTTAGATGAGTTCATTGTTTTAATACCACATTGGTTTTTCATTATCGAATTCGCGACAACACGGGCCAGTTATCAATCTCTCCAAATTAGATTCTTTCTCTATATGTATCTCTTTTCTTATACGAGCAAGCTTGTAATAGACAAGCTAAAACATAATAGGCCGGCTGGACCGATTATTAAAGAAAATAAGAAAAGAGAAAAAAATACACTATCGAAAACGCCCTTTTCACTTATATTCGTTATAAAATATCACTTATCATTAGATGCTTGCATTGTGTTTTGATCACTTGTCTTTTTCACTTGAAAAAGACAATTATTGACAAAAATTGGTACTACTAGTTTTTCCCATTTTTCTTGCAACATGGAGATACCGTGTGGGACGAACGATATTGTTTTGCCAACCAAGCATCGACCGATTTTCACACTGCTGTAGCGTTTCGAACCCGCATGCCAGCCAAGCTATGCTGCATCGATCTGGGAAAGTGCGAAGTAGGCTGGGTGCGGCCAAACGTCTCATTTGAGTTACAATAGTGTATCGTTGACAACTCTTGCAATATATGCTTGAGCGTTGAAAATGGAATTTTGAGCTTTTCATGATTAGCATCGGCATGCGCTAATACTAAATGTAAAATGGTCATTTTAAGTAGAGATAGATCAAAATCATCGACTTTAGCCGTTGTGTGCATTCATACTTCGCATTACTTGTTCACTTTCGCCAATTGATGTAACTAATCAAAATACGTACAACCATCTATTCTACCTCTTTACTTTGTAAGGACTTACCCTCTCGTATGGATGGTGATCCAAAAACATTTCGGTTCGGTTTACGGTTCACATTTAGCAAAGTTAATTTGGAACAGCCAATACACAAGCAATAAGTGTTGTACAACTTCATTCATAATAAACTAACTAACAGCTGACAAAATATACATTGGAGAAAAGCCAAGAATTTAACTTTTAAAAGTTTCAGTTGAAAAGCCTGTTTGTTAATGAAGTTTCAGTTAAAGTTAACTTATTGAGAACGGCGCTTAGTCAATTTTTATCTTAATTGGTATAGCTATTGTTTTGTTTTAAAAATATTATTACAACATTTTCGATAAATGTGTTAACAAGTGCAAATGCACTGCGAGCAGGCAAAGTCGAGTAACATATCCTTCGATTAAGGTCGGGGGCATCAGAATAAGTTAGGATATATCCGCTATCCTGGTTTAGGCTAGTCACGATTTAGTTATTTATAAACGTATCCTAATGGACGACGGTCGTATGCGTATTCCAGCTGAAACAGTCAATTTTTGGCTGAGATCTTGCAATTTTAAGGCACGGTTAACTGGTATGTTTCTCTTGTTGTGTAGTAGCCGTCACAACCAAATGTGTCGCGAGGTTTTCATCACGTCATCGCCGCGACAAATACAAGTCGAAAAAATGACACTAAGTCGAGAGTAACAGAGTCTAAATTACGTAACACTAAATCAAAGAATGCAAAGGTTCAGTAAAATAAAATTAAGCTCAAAGTAATCTGTTCAAGTCAAGGCCAAAGATGTCAATACAAGTTACCAAGTCAAATAAAAGTGGAAGAATAAACTAGTATCTAAATAGCGATTAAAATCGAGTCTTTATATCCGGGAGAAATAACTATGTACTGTCTATTTTTTAAGAATACCAAGTGGGTCGCAAACGAACAAAACTCTTGTGAGAGTAGAATCCATGGACATCACGGCGGGCAAGGGCTCGATCATAATAAATTTCTTACAGTATATGCTACAATTGTTAATAAGGTGGCATTTCTTCTTAAATGAAGTTTTAAAAATTATGCTGCCAGAGCCAGATAATACGAAAAATTCTGATGCATCTTTTTAGACAGTCATCCTTTTCAAAGTCCTTAGCGTTATTAAAACCGGTTAAAAGTCATTAACGTTTCTAATAAGATTTTTGCTACGCATTATTCAAACATGTTTGATCTCCACAAATCGAGTGCATTGTTTAATTAACTTGCGTATATTAGTTTGATCAATAAGTAATGCATTGAATAGGGCAACTATTATATCCATCAACACTTAATGACTCATTGGTCTGATATGGCAACGCTGTAGCGTTACCAAGTTAGCTATAACTTGTGTAAACTAAGTATCAGAATGTCAAGACATGGTACTGTCCAGAAATTACCAGCGTGTCCATACTGTTGCCACGTATGTATTTGACGGTGGAGTTATTGAGTGATATAATGAGACTTAGTTCACTAGACCCTCTCCAACGATATTGGGAATTTTTCTATGAATTCTGAAAAATATTATTTATCGATCACTTGAAAATAGTTGGAGATGAATTTTTATTAAGGCTACCAAAAAGACAATAATTGCTGGGAATCGAATCCGCCAAAAAAAAATATAATTTTTTTTTTCTTTCTCCATACGGTATCGGTTCATATTAATGAATCTGGCAAATATAAATCACCGTAAGAAGTGCCTTTTCTATATTTCTAAATTCTTCACTGGAGTGATGATCATACGAATTCGATATGCAATTTTTGACGCAAAATAGCACAATAGCACGTCCCATACGATATGAGATGGCAACAAACATAGATAAGCCGTGGGCGCTCAATTTTAGGTCGTTTATTACGTGCGCTTGCATGATCAGGGACCAATTTCTTCGACGGAACATATTTTCCAAAATGTTTTCAGTTTCTGTTGGTATTTATATAATAAGAAGAGATTGACATTTTTTTCCCCTTCCTTCCAACATATTCGCCTGTATAGCGCACTGCGTTACACTATCTGCAGTAGGACTGAGTGTCTGAGTGAGTGCACAATGCAACAATATCTTCGTGAGATTAAAACTTCACCACTTGATAAACAATAAACCAAGGAGTATTAGGAAAGCAAAAAAAGGGCGGAAATAACGTTGACGATGTCAAAATGTTTGTTATTTATACGATTTTGAAGGGATCAAGTACTTGTTTACAATCTTTCATGTCAAAATTTTGTTGGTCAATAATACTCGTGTCGACAAATACATATATTTGTGTATACGGATTTGTATTTAACTTTCGGTTTAAATATTTGATTACAAATTTTATTTAAAAAAGCACAAAAATTGGTTCTGGTAGATTTGTTGTTATTGAATTTTGATTTGGGCCTTTACCTGAAACCTTATCAGAAATTGACCAAATTTCAATAAATTGTCAATTGTGTACAAAACATTGTAGTGTTTTAGTATCATTTAGTAGAATTTGCTTCTTTTTTTTATCGGAGCCATCACTTGAAGAAATAATATTTATATGACAAATAAATCACTACAGCTTGAAGAGTTTCGCCTCTTCGTTACGTTAATAGCTCGTTTAAAACGCAATACTGATGAAAGGAAAATTTTAGTGCGACTTGTTAGCTTTGAGACAGTCTTACGATTGCAATCCGTTATTAAACCGCTGGCCTCTATTTGAGCAGATGATCGGGATGTTGGTGGTGATTCATTGTATTGCTGGTGAGAATCAGCTCCATCGACAACTCTTAATAATATATTAGTGCTGGCCGCCTTTTCGTGTGGACGTCTTGCTTTGGGTGACGAGTTGACGCTAGAAAACGGCGTACGACTAGACCCGCTGACTTTAAGACCCGCTGTTAACATTTCGAATTTACTACTGGGCTTGACATTTGTTAGATAGTGTTTCCCACCACCGCTGGCATTTCGATTGCTTGTCAACTGTTGCGTATCTTCTTCATCTTCCAATTCACTTTCACCCATTTTCAGAATACTTTCCAAATTTAAAGGACGTTTTGTTGTTTTCCTTATTGGGCCTTTAGCACTAATGGATGATAATGATGATTTGCCGCCGGCAGTTGTTGAGGACAGAGTTGTACTAGCAGTGCGTTCGCTGCCAGTGCCAATACCTTCATCTGCCATCATACCGGGTACCATTATATTGGCCGATTGATCATCAATGCATTCCGTTTCAATACTGCGGGCATTTTCATCTTCCCGCTCGTCGTTATTATCATCAACGTCCGTTTGACACATAGATACTTGACGTACCATACGTCTTTGCGGGGCGTAGAGGCGACGGTGCTTCTGTATTGTATTCTGTAAATTTAAACGTTGACGGTCCTTTTCACTGAGATTACGTATACGTTGAGGATTTAATTTGACCTGAGCGATTATACCAACCAACAATTCGTCGACATTGTGATTAAGGCCAGAAGACGTTTCTATAAATTTACAGGCAATATCTTTGGCAAGTTTACGGGCCACTAAAAGCCAGGAGATACAAAGGAAAATAAAAAAAAAATACAGAAAACGTTTTTGTAATAAATTCAAATTTGATTTTATTGCAGTAATTATTTAAATTAAAACTTTGTTTTTTTTTTCTTGCTCTTTTTTTGCTTACTTTGGCGATTCACTTCGCGGTGACGTTCCAAATCGGTTTTGTTCCCAACGAGTATAGCGCCGCGTGTTAAAAGCATTTCATTTTCTTTCAGATAGTAAAGAATTTTTTCGGCAGCCTTAAAGGAGGAGCGATCGACCACCGAATAGACCACCACAAATAAATCAATGTTATATGTGGAACAAAAGGCCTCCGTCTAAAGCATAAACACACGACACGAAAATATATATATGTATAGTGAGTATCTACATATGTATATATATATATATATGTATAGTAGTATATATATATATATATATATATATATATATATATATAGTAAGTATGTGTGTATATATATAGTAGCATAGATATATACACATATATAATATGCGAGCATTTAGACGACAATGTCAAGCAGTCCATTTATCAGAAAAGACAATAGAATATAGAAACAGAGGAGAAACCTTTAATAAAAAAGGACCTTAACATGACATTAACTAATGCATATGTTATCTTGTTCTTATTTTTATGTTCTTATCCAACATATAATGGTCTTCACTATGCGTTTTATGTGGTGTAAACTTTCAATGTTAATGACAAGTTGGGTAACAGTTGCGCTTGAAAGAACCATTAAATGCTTTATTACTTCACTATAATCGCACAGTGCGGTGAAATTCGCAAAACTAAGAATGTTATGAATACTTGCACCAGACATTATGTAAACTAAAGAATTAAAATAAAAGTTAAGCAAATTATCAGGGTACAAGGTTTTTTGCTTCATATATATTCCTCCTTTATGTTCAACACCTCCCGAAAGTCTTGTCAATCTTAACAAGTAGTACCGTCTCATAGTGCTTAGTCTTTCTTGCTGCTTAAAGTGTCATCTTCTCCTTTTTACAGTAGTTGTTATATACAAATGCTTGACTTACCGACATTTCGCATGCTGGATGATCAATGATTTCTAAATCTGTTTCAATGCCATCAACAAGTACTGAAACCGTTTTCTGGCCGTAGTCGTCATCTGCGAAAAAATAAAAAATTGTATAAATGATGGCAAATATTTTTTCAACTTCTCATATATGTTTTTATCACATATATTGAAATTTAAAAGCAAATTGGACCCAACAAGACCAAGTAAATTTTGTTTGGGAGCTAACTTTTCAAGACTGATTTATGGTTAACAAACGAAAACATTATGGTGGTACTCGGCACACCATTAAATACCCTACACCAGTTCGTTTAGCGCAGTTACTCATATAATGATTTTTCAAATTATGGCTTTAATAGCGTTCATCCTTGGGCTAAGAAATGTCGGTGTACAATTTTTTTTCAAAGGTATAGCAAGTGTAGACTACAATTAAAGACAAGAAAATTGTGTAACGTATGACTAGAAGAAGTGTATGAAGATCGCAAATCAGCATTTTCTTCTTTATAAAAAAATTATTTGAAAAACAGATAAGAGTCTTGTAGTCGGTCAAAGCTGATTTTTAATTATCCTACATCACGTAGCCTAGTTGTGTTATTCACTCGTTTTGATAATAATCCACCAAAAATTGCACATGATTTTCATACAAGAGCATACCTTTCATGGAAGCCCGCATATTTTGAGGATTCTCAAAATATTACATGACTTCTTCCAAATTTACCAAACTCAATTTACTTCTTAAAAATTTTATTATTAAATTCCTTTCCGCTAGTTTTTGTTAAGTTACTACTGTGAAATAATTTTGATCATAAAATATTAAAAATTTCTGAAACGGTTACTATTCATGCGAAATCTTGTGGAAATGGACTGGGGCCCAAGAAATGGAAACATATGAGTCAAGTGTGGTCCATTTAATTTTTATACCAAGTTACTACCATCAACAAATACTCATCATGAAACATTAACATTGACCTTTTTGACGTATAAAAGTTTATATAACCTAAGAATGTTTACATGCGGTCGTATCCAACAAATAAATCTACGTGGTCGAAATTCGGTAAGGTTGGCTCTTTGCCAATTTACTGTTATGAACTAATTTTCACCATGGTATGTTTGAAAATTATGCATTTTTACCATATAAAGATTCAGTCCAGAACAGTTATACGTAACAGGGTTCTACAACTTGCCCCAACCGAACCAAATTTTCGTACCAACTTGGAATGTCGAAATACTAGAACACTGGAGTATTTTTTTAAAAATATTGAAAATATCCATTTTTTTCGAAATTTTCGAAATAGAGCGAAGTGGCGGACAAAGTAGACCGATCCGAACCAATTTCAATAGCATTCGCCTTAAGTCAGAGCACGTTATTATATCGAATTTCATCAAAATATATCTCAAAAATTGCGACCAGAAGTTCAAACACGGTAATACATTGAGAGCCATAGACATCGGACGAACGGACAGATGGCATTAGATCGACTTGTCGTCCTTTATGATCGGTTAAGCAACTATTTTTCTTGAGTCTACGGACCCATAAATGTTACATCTTCATTCGTTCACGTGGCCAAAAAATTGAAATTGAACGTCATAGTTACAGTAGCGACCGTAAAGGATTCGGAGCAAGTTCACCTTCCGCCTTCCCCACTTATTCATATCCACATTTGCACAACAAATAATAAAATGACGCAATGTATTCCTATCTTCACAAATTTCCTACTAAAATTTGTAGCAGCGTTACCTGGGGTCTTATAATTTAGCGTACCTCAATTGGCGTACCTCAGTTGTCAAGCGCAGAGTGAACTAAGTTTAATGGATAAAGTGCATTTAGGACATTGTATTGGAGAACGTATCGATTGTTTGTAAATTCTGGGCGATAAGGAAGTTTTACATTTCACGTTGGCTAGCAGCCCACATCTAGCCAGCACTTTACAATTGCAGAGGGCCTCGGCATTCACCATTCGACTGATGAAGAACACACCAAACATCTTCACATTCAAATGTTTTATTTAACGTGCGAAAGAACCTTCCCTCCAACCACTCGATGCAAAAACGCAAAATTCCAAGGAACTTGAAAAGTATTCAACTCAGTGAGCGCAAACAATCTCCGAAACAAAATAGGAAAAGGCAAAAATCACAAAGAACCAGCATATTGGCAATTTATACCGACACGTAATGCGCCCACTATATATAGAAACATATGTATTTCAATATAGGCGATATCGCTTGAGAAGTAAATCTTATATTTAAAGTAAATTAAGGTAGAGAGGAAAGAAAAGGAAGCCTTAAAATAAATACAAATAAATAAACAAATAAAAACTGAAAGGGAAAACAAAGAAAAAGCGAAAAAGAAACCTCTACACGTTAAAATAGGTGTACGCCCATTACCTGTAACTTGTAATCATAAAGCTTCATAGGTATAGAATGGAAGCCTACCAATAGAACCACTAGATCAGTACAAGCAAGAAAAGTTTGCCAACCATTTGTTTCGAAAATTCAAGATTTTTGACTAGACGATTTTTGATTATGTTGTTCGATTCCGATATCGAAATTAAATGATATCTATCAATATTAGAATGATTGCAAAGAACCCGAATGATGTGAAACAGCTCATAATTGAGTCTACCGGGCTTACGTTGCACAAACTGAAATTGACGGAGAACGGGACTCAGACATTAAACTTTCCTTCGTTTAATTTGAAAATTCTTTCGCTTTTCTAGTGGATGTAAATCAATAAATCTGATATTAGTCCTATATAAGTTCTCTAGCGTTTTTCTCGAGTTCTTTATCCCAATTCCGTACATAGAATGGCAACGAGAACTCCGCTATTGTCTCTTTGCCTTTAAATAAAACTCTAACTGCAAAAGCGTCATTTATTTATAGCGGAGAGAGTAAGACATTCTTTTTGTCTGATTCCTACAAGCATTACGAAATCATGCTTGGCCTCCTGTTCAATTTATATATACCCTTATGCATAGCTTTCACTATAATGTTTGTACAGTATAAGTGTTAGTTATTCGTAAGGTGCCGCCAGGCGTGTAACAAAATGTAAAGAGATGGACGTCAACAAACAGCATTTACAGCACTGTATGTCATTCTGCTTTATTATTATTATTATTATTATTAATTTTGCCGGAGAAATGGATTCTAAGACTAAACTCTTAAAGCGGTAGCATCTAAGACTATCAGCTTATATTAATAACTCTGCCGCACTTAAGATTCGAACCCACGGCCATTGAGTTGCTAGTCAAGATTTCTCGCCTTCGGCCACTCAGGTGGATTCTGCTTTTAATTGAAAACGATGAAAGTTTTGGAATTCCGCGAAAGCGAAAGAAAGTTGAATGAAGAAATTCGAAGTTTATTTAGACACAAATCTGGCATAAATTCGAAAAGAGCTTGTTGTAGAATTAGGGATAAGTCAATCCCCAATTTCAATTCGATTGCATAGAATGGGAAAGGAAATGGATTCCTCATGAGATATTCGAAGAGAACCCGAGTTGACAACTACTAACGTGTGTTAAGTTCCTATAGCATGAAGTATTATTTTTAACCAATTTTTGCGGGAGATTAAAAAATGCAAGACATTTTCAAATGAAGAAAAGCGTACGTTTGTCCAAGGCAACAATCCAAATCTCTTGCATTTACCATTCCTTCGCAAAAGTGGTACTGTACGTTTATTTACTACGGAGTTTTAAAGCCTTGTAAGGAAAAAAAGTACTCACGAAATGATTCGGTGTACGGTCGGAATGAAAACCAAGTTTCTTCCGCGAGGGCATGCTTAACCCAGCTAATAACCCACAAACGACCATAGAGGGTGATGGCGAATACTTGAATTATTAAATTTCGTAAAAAGCACAAATAAAATAATTACATTTGAATTTTTTTTTTTTTGCACATGCCATCGATAAATGATTGTATTATAGTAATTTCGGATTGTAATATTTGGAAACCTTACACAGCAAGTAAGATCTGTGACTGGTGTGATGTAGCCTTGCTCGAATATTAGGCCATCGGTTCTTTGGTTGTGTGGTCTACAAATACGCCGTATTCAGGAGCAAATCTGCGAGCAGTAGCAATAATTTGATTTTGTTAACCTAACCTTAAACACAAATTGATGGCCTGAAAATGTAGGGTTACATTCATTTTTATCGGATTATATTTAGGATAATGAGTATTCAAAATTCGGCTGAAAAAGCTAGTAAACTGTTCCCGTTGATTTTCATTATTGTACCCTACGCCCCTTTTAGTACAGGGTATATTAAATGTCTGCCGGGGTATGTAACACGCAGAAGGGCTTAATATAGATCCAACTTTTATTTTACCGAACGATTCAGAATCATTTGCTGAATCATTTGCTCATCAAAGCTTGTCTATCCGTTTGTTCGTCTGTCCGTCTGCCCATGTAAATTTATGTTTAAGCTACAGATCGCAAATTTTTAAGGTATTTTGATGACATTTGGAACACTGACGTGCTTTTGCCCAAGAAAGAACGCTATTGAAATTGGTTTCGATCGATCCTCTTTTTCCACTTCTCATATATCGTCACAATTTGAAAAGTCGTTATATGAAATAAAATTCTAACTTTCAAAATTATATATCAAATACTTTCACTCTGTAACAGTATTTGTATTTTGAAGGCACTTCTCATATAACCTCCTAATCTTTATATAGTAAGACGCTACAATTTTCATTAACGAATTTGAATCACTTTAATAGGCCTAAATTTTGTATATTATATGCATACGTGTGTAATTACTGGCTGAATTAGGCGAAGTTGGGTAGGGTAGCTAATAGTTGGCGTTTACTGGCTGTGATGTTCTTGCTTATTTTGAATTAAAAAGGAGAAAGAAAGAGTACGGAACGTGTCTAACCAATATTTAATGTATTAAATAGTTAAATTATAATGCAGTGCAAAACATGCATTAATTGCTTTAAATTTAATTTCATTTTAGTATGGAAACTTTGTAATTAAATAATGGATTTTTAGTGCTATAAAAATGTCAATTTTAATAATGGCATGTCTAGGATTGTCACATCAAAGAAACATTTCAGTATCCGTTGGGAAGTGAGAAATCTAAGAATGTTACGATTATGTA